ACCATCGCCCCTTTCAAAAATCCAGCTTTCTTTCTCATATATCGAACTCGCTCTACAACCTGAACCTCAGCTGTCTCGTTACCAGGATGAGAAGCTGGATTTGAACCTGCTGCACGAGTGGAGCTAGGTGTAAATGGAAGGGGACTAGTTCCGTAAGTCGAAGGCTGTACTTGAGATATTCGAGAATGGAGAATGAATCGGTGGAGACGTTGAAACAGATAATTAGTATACAAGTATTCATTAAGCAATTATATCGAAATAGATAGTGAAACATCTACTTCTGTAATTTCGAAACAACCCCACCCCGTAGCGACAAAACTTCTTTAGAAATAAACGTGCTGTGTATTTGAGTAAAAATTGGCTGAATACTATGCTTGCTGCTTTAAATATATTTGGATTCAGTACATGTAGAAGGGCTAATTGGGTAGCTGGGTGGCTGCAGAAAGGGGGGTAATAGTAGCCGATATAAGAAACCACAAATTTAGCATCATTTCAAAATTTCAAAATTTCGAAAAACATCAAAAAAAAACTTTTTTGGACATAGAGAAAGAGGCTAGATCCTTCCAATTCCATACTCAATACAGAAAGGGACATAAAATATATTCCGTACACACTCAGGTTTTGAGCTGAATCGTCGATGAAGAGTATTTTCAAGCGTGTTTGCCAGTGATAAGTGTAAAGGAATACGAAACACGATATGCATTGAAACCTGCATAAACGTCCAGGCAAAAACTAAATCATCCTTGAGTTTCGGAGACTTGCATATGGAGATATTGTTGCGAGGAAAATATCACAGAAGATAATCGGTCGCTATCATTTTTGGTTAATGCTTGCTAAGATCTGATGATTCTGGGATACAACTTACCACCATTTCGCATCCCAATCTGGATGAAATAACGGGATATTTACTCGTATTCTTACTTGAGTTGGCTCAAGAAGGGTTCGCTGCATCACTCGATTAGACTGCCTAGGTATTCAGAATATTCCACTCGATCTCTCTTACTAGTAGGCCTAAAAATTGATGAATCGGTTGATTAGTTATAAGGTTAACGGCAAAGCAAGTAGTTTCTTGATATCTAATTGTTATGAGAATCGTGATACGATTCTATTAGTGTGCTTCAAGAAAAATGATGGACGGGATCAACTAAAAACAATGACAGATCCATTAGGCCGTGAGAACAGAGAGCCCAGAATCTCAAGTTAAGTAACGTACTCTCCGGGGAACAGAATAAAATACCCACGAATAGTAGACTACCCCATTGCAGGATGATCGAGAGGCAGAGAGTGTTCAAAGGTTAAGAGCCGGAACCTTGGACTGTTTTTCGGTCCGAAGAACAATAATATCCGTGAAAAGATGAGCATGTTGTTCCGAGACTAAACTAGTGTCCTGTAGAGGAAATGTACATCTACAGAAGAATAGCATCTCTCAACTTACGTGTTTGTTAGCTCGAGCCTTTTAGTTTAGCCCTATCCTTGCTCGGGGATTGATATCTTGACCACGCAGTCAGTGTATGAATGTCACTGTCCGGAATTCATCTTTTCAGAAGATGATGACTTTATGTCGCGAACGAAGCGAGGGGGCTAGGCTGGGAGATTCCCTACTGGTCGGCACATGGTTGGTGAGACGAGTCATGAGGAGGGGGGTAAGGCGCGGATGGATACATAAATTAGTATAGTGCATATCAGGTGCATGCCGAGTAGAGAGTCAACGGCTCACATTAGATTATATGCCCTAGTCTGTGTGCTAATACACCACAGAATGCTAGGCCGCAAATTTCACCATATTGAGTTCAAACAGATCGAGATTCAGATACCGTTGAATATGGGATGCTAGAAGCTAGCACAATTCAAGGAAATCTCGATAATGAGTGGCATCGCTGGTATTAGTTGAGAAAACTCAACCTATGGAACGGAAAAAATGTGCTATTCCTAGACTGTAACACAGCTTCGAGGTAAAACCTTCAGTTTCCAGATGAACATACACCACACAAAGTTTTCCAAGAGGGCCAACCTAGCATCTCTTCTGAGTTAGAGAAGCATCCATGAAATCCCGTCAACCGCCTATTGTGGTTGACCACGCATGTCTAATCTAAACGTTAAATCAATCAGCGAAATCCTAAAGATCTACTAGGTCATATCAAGCCCTTAATTTTCAGGCGCTATCTTGGCCATACATAATGGGTGATGAGTGCATTGAAATCTACCAAGTACCAATCGATAAGTTCAAGCAACCGCAACCGATTCAACGCCTTACCTCTCCCCAAACACTTTACATTTTCTAGCCAGCCACCAGTATTTTTCAACAAGAAATGTATCATTGTGAAATAAAATTATGTGAGCTGCTGAGAAAACAAGATTCCATTGTGAAAATAGGGGTATCAACAGTTTTGCGTTTGACTTCCATCACTTCTGAGTTCCAAGGTCCTGCAATCCTAGCCCACAACAACAGCACTAGGTTTGTACTCATAAGCTCTATGTTACGGGGTTATATCAGGTGGCCTTCCTGTAGATAGTTGATGCCTGAGACATCAACCTTAGAATAGCTTCGCTTAGGATCGCTTTTGTAGCTTATAAGGCTCTTCGCCCTTAGAATCCTCTTCTGAAGATCAGTATTAGAATTTTAGTCAATATGAAAGATTAGTTCACACTTCCATTTCATCACCGTGGCACTCTATCGTAGATACCAGGGGTTATTCATACCCGTGAATTCCCGCGGATGGATACTGGATCGATGAAATCCAGCCAGGTGGCTACCCTGGTGCCAAACTTGACAGTAGGTATTATCAACAGCGTATCGCTGCGCTGAAAACGGACTAAACGTACAAAGTAAGTTAATGCACGTGATGAAACCCCTGCCTTGGTTCATCTCTTCACTTTATCAATTGGTAAAGCCTCAAAATATTTCCAGTTGTAAAGCATTTAAATGGTTTGAGTTTGTCGCGGTACCTACTAGTGAATCGTACATGGCCGCATGTCAGATTCACTAGGGCGCCCGCGCAGCGGGCATGTAAGCCCTACGTAGATCAACCTCTAATCCATATACAATCCATACCATACTTTATTTACTGTATTGATCAATACAATACCACCGAGGTGATTCCAACAGAGTTATATTGAAGGAAGAGAGTGGAATAAGACCGTGGCATTCGCGAAGAGGCAGACCAAAACTGCTATGATAATCCCTGGTGAAGGTAGGTGGATTCATTGGAAACCTACATAAACGTCTCGGCAGGCTTAAGTGTCATATCGCCATTAGATCATCATTAACCGTACATCAAATATCGACACCGTGTATCCTCATAACCATGATGTAAAGGAATCATTTCCCACCCCTTCCCCTGCCCCTGCCCCTTCCACCACCTCTGCCTCGCCTTCCACCTCTCTTGTTGCCTCGTGAATTGCCCTCGTCGAACCTCTCGTACAATTTTTCTTCTCCAAACGCACAATCTCCCATCCTCAGATAGCTGATGATCCCCTGGTCATTGACCGCTAGGATAACATTCCTATATCCATGTCTGATCCTGTGATACATTTTATTCGGACCCTCCATGTTCTTTCCCGGTGGGTCCCATGGCGAGCTATCGAATAATGATACTACCTCTGGTAACGTAGGCACAAAGGTCTCTCTCGCATCCACAACAGCTAAACGGAAGTCGGGAGAGCCTGGGTTGGTTTTCGCGAATGTAGGAATGCTACTGGGCTTCCAGATATGAAAACAAACGCGGAATGGGTGAGATGGAGGTTCAGATGACTCATTGGGTACTGGCGATGGTTTGTAGCGGGGTACTATGGCCATTTGGCGGTAAATAGAATCGTAAGACCTGTATAAACCTGGTTTTACTAATGGGCCATATGGAGAATGTGTGATGTCTTTTGCGAAAAGGTCGAAAAGCCAAGTGAACATGCCCTTTGACTCTCCTGGTATAGGTCCATGCTCAAAAGGCTTGGTGGGAACATTTGGATCCCAATCTGGACCTCTCATAACGACATATCCATTTCTTTTCAGATTGGCATAGACGTTATATCTTTCCAAACTAATCTTTCCCCTCTCACCATCCAGACCAACAAGCATAGCATACGCAGCCTGTAAGCTCATTGGCGCACCATCATCCTCATCTCTTGCATCTCCCTTCTTCTCATTTTCCCCATCCTCAACTCCATTGTACGAAGATTTATTTGGCCACCATAAATCCAAGTTCCCTCTCTCGACCAAATATAACGCCTCCTCAGGTAACAACCACAAACTACTCTTGTGTTTTCCCTCATTGGCCCTCCCAATTGTTCTGAAATGTGGTCCTCGTGGTCCTTCCACTACAACAACATGATCTGCATGTAATCCCTTCCTCCATTCCTCTCCTACTAACTCATCTCTCTCTAACCCCTCCCCCACACCCTCCCCGTAGTAAAAGGCCCTTACATGCGCCTTTGGCAGATGAAATCTTGTATAATCTAGCGCATCATGCATTGCCTGCCTAGATGCAGCCAATATCCCATCTTGTTGTTTTGTACCGTGGGGTTCGAAATCTTTCTCTCCGCGTTTGGGAAGTGAGCCAGTCTTTGAACTGAGGGATGCGAGGAGGCGGAAATCTTGAGTCTCGTCGCCCTCTTCATTATCTTCGTTTGGTTGGTTGTGAAGGGAATTTATGGGCGCATCTTCATCCATATCTGCCATTGTCTAGGTTCGGTTCGTGATTGCTGTGGTTTGCGATTAGAGGTGCCAGTAGGATGCACTTGCCTTGGGTAAATTTTATTTTCAGCCTTGTAGAAAGGCTTAGTGAATTCCGACATATAGCCGAGTCGCGACCGGTCCATGCACAAAATTTAGTGGCCCACAAACTAGCTTGATGAGTTCCGATATATACCCGCGACCGGAAAAATCTGATGACCCACAAACTTTGAAAATCGATTAGAAATTTCAATGTCATAAGATCTTCTCACGGATTAGCAATGCGCGAGATATGTATATTCCATCAACGTCACCATCTTCAACAAACAAGCTTGGGGATCTGGCCGAGTGGTTAAGGCGTTGTGTTTAGGTTCTTCGTAAGAAGATGTAAATCCGTTCCGCAATGGGCAACCGCGTGGGTTCGAATCCCACGGTCCTCACAATCTTTTTGCATTTTGAATCATTCAAATCCATTCAGAAATGGTTGAGATATGTTCAATTGGAGTTTTTGATGGTTGTGTTGTCCCAGGCGTTGGTGGGGGTGGATGCACGTGAAGCGAACCGAAAAGGGCTGCCGCTTTTAGGTTTCTGAACCACGTGAGAAGTCTACACATCCCTTTTACATGAATCTTTGCGTTCTTGAACAAGATTGTGAAGGACCGTGGGATTCGAACCCAATCGCAGTTGCCCATTGCGGAACGGATTTACATCTTCTTACGAAGAACCTAAACACAACGCCCTAAAGGCTACGCCTTCAGGGCATGGGGGCAATTGGATGGCACGACAGCGTCAAATTTCCACCTAGATTCAAAGAACCTACCGGACTCTCTGTCGGCACGAGTACGAATCATAGTCGGATTGATTGTCTGTCTAAAACGGCTGGCGCAGTAGCACAGTGCTGGGCAAGGTGAAAAGGCCTCAAGCGACGTGGTCAACCTTCTTAGCATCTTGAATCAATGTGGAAGATACCGACATAGCGTGTAGCCAGCTTGCTATTCCATTTTTTACATTGCAGATAATGATAAAGTACTTAGTGGTTCAGGTACTCGAATATCGCATTGGATTCTAGCGACAGTTTCATTTGCTTTGACCCGATTCGGGATAGACGAAGTAATGGCTCAAGTATTCGATTTCACTGATAAATCCCAGCCCCGATTAGATTGGAAATAGATGAAGCAGTAGCTTAAATGTTCCGCCTGATCTCATTCCCATTCAAGCTCAACTATAGTTGGTTTGGCTAGAGTGGGATAGACAAAATGGTAGTTCAAATACCTGATCTATCTAAACTCATTTCAAGCCAGCTCCAGCTAGACTGGGATTAGACGGAGCAATGGCTGAATTAATTGAACTGATCTCATTCGTTCGTTTGCCCAGAGGGGGTTAGACGAAGAAGCAGTGGCTCAAGTACTTGATCTCATTGTTGGGATACAGGTGAAGTGAAGTGGCACGTGACCGAGCGCTAGGCGCGGTGCGTACCAATAGCTCCCTCCAATTCCAACCTTACTTCATCATCAATGATACTATACACAATACAGACCACTATTCTTGATCAATGACTTTATCACCATTGAGCTGACATCAACACTCATCTCATTGGAATTCCGCTCTGCACAAACTAGACGAAGCAGTGGCTCAAGTAATTAATTACATGAGCAGGAATAGATCAGTGTATCCGATCGTCCGGAGATCAGACCTAAACTTTCACTATTTGAAAAGCTTTCTATTGGTATGAACTTATTACTATTGAAATTTTAAGCACTTAATTTTGTCTATATTAATCAATGGTCTCTACTAAGATATGAAGAGGTTGTTGGTCCTTATATAAGATCCCCGAGGTGCTAGCGCTCTCGCTCCTAGTAGCTAGTACGGCTCCCTACGATTACATGATTGGACTTTTTCTTTCAATACTTGTAACATTTATAAACCGTTTAAGGATAATCTAAACATTTGAATGATCTGATTGCTTCAACTGATATGATTGCTTCAATCGATTTTAAGAATCAACAAAAGCCTCTTATTCTTGAACACACTAGAACAGACGAAGCAGCGGCTCAGTACTTGACCTAGTTAATCTCATTGAATCTTAGCTACAGTTACTGCACTATCTTCCATCAATTTCCTTACAGTATTCAGTATTCAGTATTCACACCCCATTTGTTGATATAAAGTAGTTCTACATACACTAGCTTAGCTCGATACACAATAATATAATCATTAATACCATTTATCACCCCTACACCCATATACACCACCCTCCTTCCCCCTCTCATTCTCTTCTCCGACAAGAAAGAAACCCCCACCACCAAACCTCTAAACCCACGCTCGCGTGAGATGAAGTAAATACCTATTGAAACTACCTACGCAACCGAGTCGCTTCTACAGCCGTGTGGTGAACATGGTGTGAAGGGAGAAGAAACGAAGGGAGGATGTAAAGTTTATTTTTCCGAACCGAATCGCGTGTTTTGATGATGGGTTCGGATGGTAGGTAATTACTTGTAGTTTTAAGGGGGAGAGGGTGGGGTGGGGTGGAAAACTACCTAGGAAGGAGGGCGATGATGGATGGTAGGGCTGCCTCCCCCCTCTCTCTCCTCCTCTCGTCCTTGAGATCGAATCCGTAACATGGATACCTAGGTAGTTAAAATATTCCATATCTCACACCCACATATTTTTTAAGTCTTTGGAACGCGTGGGTTTATGTCATTCCCTTCCTTTTGGATAATCCCACCACGACCCACCGCCATCACATCATTCAATGTTGTCCCTTCTTCCTCCACCCCCGCATTGCTTTTTCTCTGTATACTGATGTTTCTTGCCACCAAAAAGTGGGCAGTTAATGAACATTGTATGGAAAAGGAAAAAAAAACATTAGACAAGGTAGGATGTGAACCTACGACCTTCCAGCCACTGGATCAATTGCCCTCTAGAACCCAAAAGGGAGTAAGTGACCCCTCGACTGTTCGAACTATCTGAGACTGATTAGATCCCCGCCGCCATTCCAAGGTCTTCAGGGTTACTGAGCTCCTCGCCCCTTTGTACTAATTGTTTTATATACGATCACTTCTAAAATAGTATACAACAACTCCTCTATAATATCGATATCGATATATAGCTAAGTTGTAGTGTATGCGATATCTACAACATTATCACATATCAAGTGATGACAATCAATTCATGATTATTTACAAGTTACTTTTGTTACCTTATTGCATGGAAGATGCGAAGAGGAAAGATCAGTTACATCACGAGCATGTAAGATGACCTCTATTCGTAGTCTTTCCACTCACAAGCAATCAAGCAAACAATAGAAATCATGCGCATTACTATTTGCAAATTGCTTAGGTATTAGGTATGATCATCGCTAAGAATCAATTACTCTTCGTACCTAGCTATTTGAATCACTGTAGCCATCGGATACTCAAGGAAGTAGGCAATAAGAATCAATTTAATCTATGACTATTCAAACTTCCCGTCGTCATCGGCTACCATCCACATGAGAAGGTGTTCGCTCTTGCTTGCTCTTGCTTGCAATATTATCTTTCGAATGTATCGAATTTCTTACTACCTACCTATAGTGATAGATAAGGTCGCTAAGCGGTTCATCCCTCAGTCACATTCAACGTTCCTTCTAGCCAGACCTTATTCTTGATCCAAAAGTGAGTGCACGGCATGAATTCATAAAATGCTTTCCAACATTCAAAGATGATAATTCATCCAAACAAATACCAATTGATTCTAGTGAAAATATAGATAGATATATGTAGAACAACTGGGGATAGTCTATATTAGATGGGGATTTGTTAAACTGTAATTATATGCAAGTTTATAAGCAGAGAGTGCTGAGGAAAGATTCCCGCAGGAACACTCCAGCTGTTTGTGAAAAAGATGTAAGTGCTCGAGAGAATATATTGTAGCATTTCTAGCATATGGTTTTCCCCCGCTGTATTATCTTGTTACCTGTTACGTTTTCTATAAGGAGGAGAGGGAGGGGGCCTACAACCTTATTATCGCCTACACTGCTGTCTAAATAAGAACTTCACTTTAAATCCTTGAAATACTATGAATGTTTTAAATGAATTCAATATCTCAAATCAATTCAATATATCAGATACATTCAATATTTCAGACAACTTCAATATTTGAAACAATTTCAATATTTCAGACAACTTCAATATTTCAGACAACTTCAATATTTCAGACAACTTCAATATTTTAAACGATTTCAATATTTTAGACGACTTTAATATTTTAGACAACTTCAATATTTCAGATGAATTCAACATTTCAAATGGATTCAATATACCAGATGAACTTAGTATGTATATTAAACGAACTCAATCTACAAAAAAGCATCGATGGTAGGAGATTTTGGCAATAAATTTTCTTTCTAGGTATGGTTTACTCTATCTAACTTTAAGACTCCTCCCATTCGATAGGTTGATTCCATATGTTCTCCACATCCTCCATCTCGATATCATAATCTATGGCGGCGGAGGTGGCAGACCTTCGCGCCTCAGCGCGTCTCCGTCTTCTATTCTAAGATAAAATGTTAGTATGGTACATTCAGAAGGAATAAGGAAAACATGAAAAATCAATCGAAACAGGATTAGGAAAGAACCCAGAGGGAATTGTAAACAACTTACCGGTCGTCTCATTGTCGCGTTCGATGGCAAATTCACAACAGCACCAGGTGCAACATTGATCTATAAAATGCATCATTAGTAAATGAACTATCCCAAAAGATAGTTGGAAGTCATGGGAAAAGTGAATAATCAAGTCAAGGGAGAGAGGAATAAACTTACAATTTGTTGCGATCCCCCTGTTTGGCGAAACATCTTCAGTATGGATGTATGCGTGGTGCATTGGCAGTGAAGAAGAAGAGAATGGAAATGGCCGCAGACTCAAATTGCTGGAACATATTCAAAAGATTGAGGAGAAGTTTTGTGTGATGTGCATGTGTATGTAGGCATGGGCAGCGATAAAGAAGAAGAGAAAGGAAATCGACAAATTAAGGGAAGGATGCTATTACTTATAGACTTCACTAGAACGCTAATTGGCACTAGGCAGCTCAAACTATTCTTGCTGTTTGCATTCATCAGCTGATCTAGGCACTACCAGATACTACGACTTCCAGGTTGGTATGATCTCGCCAAATCGAGAAGTCACATCTTGAGGTCCTTCTGAATGAACAACACTAACCTTCAAACCTTATCATTGCCGTAATATTCAACCTCATTGTCCCTATTCATTTGCTTACCTAGTATTTTAAGCCATATGAAAAGCTATTCATTCAATAGTACAGTAAATAATGCTTGAAAATTATAGTAAAGATGAAGTTGAAAATAATGGTGACGTCAACAGGCTATCTGTCACGTGGGGCATCACATGACCACAGGAAACACGGCACAGATACCGATTGCATCGGTTGCGATACGGGAAGCTA